TAGATCTTCTGCCAAAACCCTCGTCCAGGGACATTTAAAGATCATATTATCTCCTAAAGCAATTGTGCCATTTTTAATATGTTAAGAGTTTCTGTAGTCCTAGGAGTTGCTGCTAAACTGCCCATCCTGCTACTTAAATGAATTAAATTATCAGCAGTATTTAGCATAGTAGCTTAGCATAGACACACACAGAAATTGTTAGTTGATGCTTTTAAGAATTAAAAAAAAAAAAAGATACCTGTAAAGTCCTCTCAAAGATACTCTTTGATTTAATAAGTACAAAAATGTTTTTCATACATACACACATGGAGGGAGGGAGAATAATTCTTGCTTTCTTAATTTGGACAGAAACTTGAATAAAGACTATCCTTTTTGATTTTTCTGTGCTACCCAAAGAAGGGTCCATACGGCGTTGGTCTTGGTTCTCACGTAACTTAAAGGGAAACCATCACAATATCTGGAGCCCTTAATGTCCTGCAAGGAGGAGGATGTCCTCAAATTCCTTGCAGCAGGAACCCACTTAAGTAGCACCAACCTTGACTTCCAGATGGAACCAGTACATCTACAAAAGGAAGAGTGACGGCATCTACATCATAAATTTGAAGAGAAGCTTCTGCTGGCAGTTCGTGTCATTGTTGCCATTGAAAATCCAGCTGATGTCAGTGTCATCTAGGAATACTGGCCAGTGAGCTGTGCTGAAGTTTGCTACTGCCACTGAAGCCATTCCTGTTGCTGGTCACTTCACTCCTGGGACCTTTACTAACCAGATCCAGGCAACCTTCTGGGAACCGAGACTTTTGGTGGTTACCGATCCCAGGGCTGACCACTAGCTTCTCCCAGAGGTATGTTATGTTAACCTGCCTACCACCACCCTGTGTAAGACAGACTCTTATGTGCCATGTGGACATTGCCATTCCTTGCAACAACAAAGGAGCTCACTCAGTGGATCTCATGTGGATACTGGCCTGGGAAGTCTTGCGCATGCATGGCACCATCTCTTGTGAACACCCGTGGAATGTCATGCCTATTCTCTACTTCTGCAGAGATCCTGAAGAGATTGAAAAGAAAGAGCAGGCTGCTGCTGAAAAGGCTGTGACCAAGGAGGAATTTCAGGGTGAATGGACTGCTCCAGTTCCTGAGTTCACTGCTGCTCAACCTGAAGTAACAGACTGGTCTGAAAACATGTAGGTGCCCTCTGTGCCTATTCAGCAGTTTCCTACTGAAGATTGGAGTGCTCAGCCTGCCGCTGAAGACTGGTCTGCAGCCTCCACTGCTCAGGTCACTGAATAAGTAGGAACAACCACTGAGTAGTCTTCAGATTCTTAAACAAAATGGAAATAAGGTTGACAGAAAATAAAGTCTCTTTAAAAGAAAAAAAAAGACGTTTTTATTATCCGTAAATAAAATTGTTTAAAAATCTTCTTGAGAGATGATTTTATGTTTTAAGTACAGGTGTTTATAACAGACTGCTAATTTATCCATTTATTAAAACATGTTTAAGAAAACTTAAGTAGGTAAGTGTAGTGCTTTATGTGCTTTAGGTTAGAGACACTGAAATGTCAACAAGTTAGCTTAATAGCCATTTTGAATTGTGAGCTTAGAGATTAGGGTTCAGGTTTTGGAGCTACCTCACACCTGAGCTAAATCCTGCCACTACTGCTTATGAGCCCTGGGCCTTAGGGTAGTTATTTATCCTAATAATTACCTATTTCTAAGGGTAAGACATTCATGAAAGCATAGAACAATTGGCATATATGATTGCTAGCCGTTATTATGATTATTACTTTCTCGGAATCAATTTGAAGTAGTGGCCCTACTCCTTCTAAGAATAAGGAAAAAGCCTGTTTATATTTTAATTAAGTAAATTGAATTGCTCTTTTTTTCTGCTTTCTTTCAGAGAATTTTTCCCACTTCTCTTCCCACCACAAAAATAAAAACACTTCCACCCTTCTTGCCCATATTGTTCTTCCCTTGAAGTCTCTGTTCTTTGACCTTCCTCTTGCTTCATAAATCCCCTTTTCTGGACTTTAGTTAAGTCACTGTCATGTTTCTCATTTGCCTTGTTAAACTGATTGATATGCACTCTAGAAAGGGAAGTTCTATACTGTGCAGGGTCTCAGTGGGTTCTAGGTCAGAAAGGTGGCCCCCGTTTTTATTTTTATGTGAAAAGATTTGTCAGTTATATAAATAAAAACTACAATTATGAGAGTTTTCTCTTTGATCTACTTTTAAGAAATGAAAGATATAAAAGTCATTAATAAAATACTATATGAAAAATCAAAATGACTCCATCTAATTTGGGGGTAACCCATGGATACATGTTGCAAGTTCCTTGTTACTTATTAAGGAATTCTGAGAATTTTGTCATAAGATGTAACAAAATCAACATAATGCTTTTGTGATTATTCATGCATAGGATATGGGGAGAATTTGAGTTGCCCAACCTCACATTCCTAGCTGAAGTCGAAGGCAACCTTCTGTCTTCCTATTTCAGGTTTCATACTATAAATATATATTCCTTTTCTAGTCTATTTAGTGCCTTTTTTTTTTTTTGCATTTTTGTGCCTTCTGTTGCTGAATTTGCTGTTTATTGTGGGGCAAGTGTAGTGGTGAAGTACTGTCTAATATTTCTAAGTGCAAGAGGGCTGTGGTGCGCCTTATGGAGAAAATATTGTGTTAGATAAGCTTCATTCAGGCATGAGTCATAGTACTGTTGGCTGATAGTTGAATGTTAATAAATCAATAACATATTAAGTGAGGTACCTTTAAACACAAAAACACATAAACCAGGGTTACGTATTGATCAGTCGATGAAAATATGTGACCAGAGTTTTGCAGGAATCTAACCTTGTGTTTCTCCAGGTGCAGTGTTTCTGTATTTGCTAATTCAGTATTTGTGGCAATCTTGTAGAGCATAACTACTGTAAATAATGAGAATCAACTGTATTTCTGATAAAGTCCAGGACTTTGATGTCAGACTGGTTTTGATTTTTTAAACATTTTGTTTTCATTTGCAAATTGTGCTCTGCTGCATCTTTAGGACTGATGAAGTACTTGCCCAGTCATTCAAGGCACAAATGTCCTTCTTAATCTACTTCTCTAATAATGTGCCCTGGATAGAATCTAGGGCCAGACTGAGTAGTGAAGAAATAACTCTGGGACAGAAGAAAATCTTTGATTTTTAGGAAATACAAGTTTTCCATAGAGGCAAGTATTTTATTAGATTGTATTTTAGCATCTTAATATAAAAATTAGGTTCTCACAGAGGATATTTTCAATATCTGTTATTGTTACTGAGAATTTTATTTAAACAATTTTATTTAATGAATGGATTAAATTACAATTTAAATTCCTAATCTAGAAGACGATATCTTTTTTTTCTGTTAAAACTGCATTATTTTAGATATAACTTTAATGCTTGGCCTTCTCATAGTTTAAAAATAGCATACATTCCATATTTTAAAGCATTGTATAAAATCTGAAATCAGAACTGTCCAAACCTTTTCCAGGGTTCTTTGTGTTTAAAGAATTTTTGTTTTGTTTTTGTGGCGGTGGTGATTTCTACATCCTTTTCCTCCTAAATTTCTTTGAATTTTTTTTTTACCAGTTGTATACTACCCAAGTATTCAGATATTTGATATTTTTAGAGAATTTTGAAGCAACATAAGATTTTCTTTTCTAAATTTTATGAAGCTGATAGTCACAGTTCCTGAATTTGATCCCTGCTTCTTTTTGTTGAAGGAAATCATTTAATCCTTGATTTGTTACTCTCTTGACACAAGAATATACCAAATGCCCTAGAAATCCACTCTGGCTTAGATATTACAAGAATTAATATTTTATTTGAGAGGGGTCAAAAAGCCTTTCAGCTTTCCTGCTCTCCACAAAGTCTTTCTCTCACCTCCCCTTACTTCAGTTTACTTGTCTCCTGGCCACAGGCTCTGGGTTTACTGGTGGCTAGTAAGGATTGGAATTTTATTCCCTTTCTTCCCAGCTATGTGATCTTGGAAACTGCTATGAGTTGATTTTCTCTTAAAAGCTCTATTCATTTCACCAAACCTCTTTGAAAACCCTTATTCACCAGGCCCTGTGATAGGTCCCAAGGGTACAGAAATGAAAAGAAACCATTCTTCTGACCTTAATCTGTTTCTAATCCAATAGAGAAAATAGATAAATAAGTAATTGTCATACAGTGTTACATTTACAATAAAAGAGATAATGTACCAGATGGAGGGAGTTTGTCTTATGTGCCCCTCCTAAATGGTATGAGTTATGAAGAATGACCAGTAGTTTACCAGGTCCAGGTGTAGGAAGTGCATGCAGGCACAGCAAGGGCCTGTGCAAAGACCCATTGGCACAAAGGAACATGGTTTATTGAAAAAACTAAGAAGTATTGCATATAGCAAAGCATAGGGTGTGTGTTAGGGCCAAATTTTGGAAGATCCTGTTTTTATATGCTATGCTAAGGAATTTTTAAAACATATTATGAAAATTCAGATACACAGAAGTAGAGGATAATATGATGAATGCCCATGTACTCATCACCCAGTTTCATTGTTTATCCCTATCAGCTTACAGGTGCTTTGAGAGTAGATGGTATGTATTTGTGTGTCTTCATTGCACCAGTTAATTCAGAGCTTTGCACATAATAGATATGCTGTACATATTTATTAAAATGAATTAAATTTCTGGCTTCTTCCCATATACTTGGTGTATGTTCATCTTAAGGGCCAACTGTGGGTGTGTATATTTCATATCACCTCTATTGCAGTTTCTCCCAGAAAACAAGCTTCTACCCCTTTCTTCCCTTTCTAAAAGCATGTTTAGAAATTTTGTTAGAATTTTTTAAATGACGCTTTTTATTTAATGTCTCAAATTATTCTGTTTGGGGGCCAATAAAATGAACTGGAGCATTTAAAAATTCATTTAGAAAATAAGAATTTCAAGTAATTGGTGAATCATATTATAAATTTGACCTTTGCTTCTCTTTTCTTCTCCAGGGCCTGCTCTCTTTCCTGAGTGCCCCGCTCATAGGTGCTCTGTCTGATGTGTGGGGGAGGAAGCCATTTCTCCTCTGCACTGTCTTTTTTACCTGCTTCCCAATTCCACTGATGAGGATCAGCCCATGGTAAGTGGCTCAGCCCCATTATCATAACTGTCTATTTTGGGTCAGTTACAAGTAACACACCTACAGATCACTTAACCATTTCAAAGCAGTTGTATCTGTGTTTTCATTTTGATCTCTTTGATAATACTGAAAGCCAGTTTGGGAAGTTGCCATCATGCCCGTTTTATAAATGAGGAAATGAGATTATAAAATTAAGCCTAAGATAAGTTATTGAGGTAAAAAAAAAGAAATAAAAGGTGTTGCCATGAGTTTGTTACAGGATTGGGTCTTGAGAGGGGACCGATGATACCTGTACTCACTGCTGTGGCTCAGTTGACTACAGATGTATTGCTTTGGTCAGCTCATTGGTTGAGGGCACTGATAGGCACATAGTTTACATCGATAGGCAGCAGTCACTTTTATGTATACTACATTGTAAGTATACTGTGGTATAAGAATAGGCTATGTAGTATACCCATATTCTCTTACAAATCATGATATGAATTTTAATATGATCTCATTTTTTTTATATAGGTAAGAGAATATTTAGCATGTAACTTTGTTGTTTTGCTGTTTTGACCAGAATTCCTGTTATTGATCTCAGCAATGTGAAGAACACACCTTAGAATGGAAGGATTTTTGTTTTTTGTTTTCAGTGTGATTAATAGATTTTCTTTTTTGGTTCATGTGAAAATATCCTCATTTGATTACCTAATAAGAATTTTATGTCATTTGTCATATTCTGAATTTGTTGGGTATCTATTTGACTATAGGCACAGAGCTTAGAATGACCCACAATGGATCATTTTATTTTCTACCGGATGATGAATTTTTATAAAATACTTTTTAGTATTGAGTCTTTCTGTCCAAGAACAAGTCATGCTTTTCCATTGAATTGAGGCTTTTTTTCATGTCCTCCAAATACCTTAAAAATTTTTTTAGATCATTAAATGATTTTACTTCTTTCCTTCCAGTTTTTACGCTGCTGCTTTTCCTACTTGTTGGCTAATGAGTAATGTTAAATAAAAGTGATGGTTGTGGACTTACTTTATTTATAAAAGAAATGTTGTAATGTTTTATTATTAAGTAGTTAAGCTAGTTTTTATATTAAAAAAATACTCATTCCTATTTTATCTAGAGATTTTTTTAAAATCAAGATGGGATGTCAAATTCTCTTTTATTTTAATTTTAATTTTTTTCAAATACAGTTGACAATATTATATTAATTTCAGATGTATTGCATAGTGGTTAGAGACAATGTCAAATTTTATCAGATGCCTTTTTGCATCAGTGGAGATAATTTGATTGTTCTCCTTAGATCTATTACTATAACAAATTATAGTAATAGACTTTCTAATATTGAAACATCATTATATCCTGAGATAAACTCCTTTTTGTTCTGTGACGTTCTGTTTGCTAGTATTTTAACTATAGATTTTTAAAGCATCTATGCACAAGATAGGAGTTTTTAGTCTTAATTACATTAATGTTTTTTGTTACACTTTCTGTTTTTTTGTAGCTTTTGTAAAGTCATTTGCTGTATATGTCTTTTTCTTAACTAAAGCTACGAAATACAGAAAATTTTTATTTTATTTGTTTTGGCTTACTTTAAAACTAACTTTACTTAATCCCCTTGCTCTCATTTTTTTAAATTGTATCTACTGACGCGCTTTAAGCAGTGACAAAATTAGTATGTTTCTACTTCTTCCTCTTCACCTTGTTTATAATTTTATTAGTTGTCCTTTACACCCTTAAATGTACTTATACATGCATATTTTTAAATTTATTTCTTGTTTTATAATCTTTGATCTGGTTCTAAAACTATATACACTGCTTCCTGGGTAATTAAAATATCTTTTATAGGTGGTATTTCGCAATGATTTCCGTGTCTGGAGTCTTCTCAGTCACATTCTCTGTGATATTTGCCTATGTAGCTGATGTCACTCAGGAGCACGAGCGAAGTACTGCTTATGGATGGGTAAGATAATAAATTTTGTTTTTTAACCAAAAAAGTAATTAATGTTCTATTAAAAATTCAGTGAAAAGTGAGATTTAAAGTAAGTGGCAAATATTGGCTTATACAAAAGAAAATATGAAGCAATTGAAATAAAAAAGTTAAAAATAGCAAGGTAGAAATGGCTCATAATTTATTAGGGTTGGCAGAAAAAAATTACAAAGTTTTTTAAGTTGATTTGATTTGTTTCTTGTTAGCTGATCTCTTGACAAACCCTAAACAGTAAACAGAATTTTCTGTGTACCTAATTCAAATGGCAGAGGTGTTAGAATTTCAGCCATGTTAATCCATTGGTATTATACTGCTGGTTGTATGTTTCAGTCACTTATTTGGGACATGGTGTTACAGAAAAGGGACTACACTCATTCATTTAGCGAATAATTGTTGAATGCATTACAAAGTTACAGAAGACTTTTTTTTGATCATTGTTTCTAGTAATATATCCATTTCTTCCATATTGTCCAAGTTGTTGGCATACAATTGTTCATAGTATTTTCTTACAATCCTTGGTATTTTTGTAGTCTCAGTTGTCACTTCTCCTTTTTCTGATTTTATTTATTTGGGTCCTCTCTCTTCTTGATGAATCTGACTAAAGGTTTATCAATTTTGTTCATCTTTTCAAAGAACCAGCTCTTGGTTTCATTGATCTTTGGATTTTTTTTTTTTTTAAGACTATTTCATTTATTTCCACTCTGATATTTTTCTACTCGCATAGGGCTTTGTTTGTTTTCCTACTTCTTTTAAGTGTTAAGGATAGATTGTTTATTTGAGAATTTTCTCGCTTCTTGTATGTATTGCTGTTATCATTAAGAAGTATTCCTCTGTCTTTTGTTATAACCTTTATTTTACACTCTTTTTCTCTCAGAACTGCTTTGGTCATGTCCAATAGATTGTGGGTTATCGTGTTTTTATTGTCATTTGTCTCAAGGTATCTTTTGATTACTTTCTTGATCTCATTGTTAACCAATTCATTGTTTAGTAGCATGTTATTTGACCTGCATTGTGTTTATCTGCTTTTCAGTTTTCTTTTTGTAATTGATTCCTGCTTTCATACCATTGTGGTCAGAAAAGATGCTTGATACAATTTCAATCTTAAATTTGTTGATATTTGCTTTGTAGCCTAACATGTGGTCTATCCTGCAAAGTATCTCTCTTGCCCTTGTAAAGATTCTGCTGCGTGGAAGTGAAATGCTCAAAAATTATCTATTATATCCATCTGATCTAATGTGTCATTTAAGGCTACTGTGTCCTTGTTGATTTTCTCTCTCGATGCTCTATCCATTGATGTCAGTGAGATGTTAAAATCCCCTACAATTACTGTATTACTGTTGATCTCTCCTTTTATCTCTATTTGCTTTATATATTTGAATGCTCCTACACTGAGTGCATAAATGTTCACAAGGGTTATATTATCTTTTCAGATTAATCCCTTTATCATTAAGAAGTATTCCTCTTTGTCTCCTGTTATAACCTTTGTTTTAAACTCTTTTTTGTCTGATACAAGTATTGCTATCATAGCTTTTTGTATGTTTGTTTACATTGCATGAAATATCTTTTTCCATCCCTTTACTTTCAGTCCATGTGTGTCTTTTGATCTGAAGTCAGTTCTTGTAGACAGCATATATATATGGGTCTTATTTTCTTATCCATTCAGCCACCCTATATTTTGTTTGGAGCATGTAATCCCATTATATTCAAAGTGATTACTGATAGGTATGTAGATATTGCCGTTTTATTATTTGTATTTATGTTTTTCCTCTTAAAGAAGTCCCTTTAACATTTCTTGTAATACTGGCTTGTGGTGATGAACTCCGTTAGCTTTTTCTTGTCTGGAAAGTTCTTTATCTGTCCTTTGATTCTGAATGATAGCTTTTCTGGGTAGAGTAATCTTGGTTGTAGGTCCTTGCTTTTCATCACTTTGAATATTTTGTGCCAGTCCCTTCTGGCCTGCAGTTACGCTTGAGAAATCAGCTGACAGTCTTATGGGAGCTTCCTTGTAGATAACAAACTACTTTTTCTTGCTGCTTTTAAATTCTCTCTTTGTCTTTAACCTTTGGCATTTTAATGATGCTATGTCTTGGTGTGGGCCTCTTTGGGTTCATCTTGTTTGGAGCTCTGTGCTTCCTGTCTGTTTCCTTCATCAAGTTAGGGAAGTTTTCAGTCATTACTTCATCAAATAGGTTTGCAATCTCTTGCTCTCTGTCTCCTCCTTCTGGTATTCCTATAATACAGATGTTGGTATGCTCAATGTTGTCCCAGAGGTCCCTTAAACTATAGTCATTTTTTAAATTCTTTTTTCTTTTCTATTCTGATTGGTTTTCTGCTATCTTGTCTTCCAAATTGCTGATTTGATCATCTGCTTCATCTAATCTACTACTGATTCCCTCTAATGTATTTTTCATTTCTGACTTTTTTTAATGTTTTTTTTACCCCCATTTTTATATTTCCTAGCTCTAGCTCTTTGTTAATGTTCTCACTGAATTCATTTATTCTTCCCAAAAGTTCATTGAGCATCTTTATAACCAGTGTTTTGAACTCTGCATCTGGTAGATTACTTGCCTCCATTTTGTTTAGCTCTTTTTTTGGAGTTTTGCCCTGTTCTTTTATTTGGGACATGTTTCTTCATCTCCTCATTTTGGCTTACTCCCTGTGTTTTTTTCCATATATTAGGTATATCTGCTATGTCTTCTGGTTTGGATGGAGTGGCCTTATGTAGTCGTTGTCCCATGGGACCTAGTGGTGCAGTATCCCTGGTCACTGAGCTGTGTGCTCCAGGTGTGTTCCTTGTATGTGTCATGTGGGCGTGCCCTCCTTTTGTAGTTGCGCATTGATTGCTCTTGGTATGTCAGTGGGAGGAATTGACCCTCAGGCTGATTGGCTGTGTGCAGTGGTTGTATATGGGCTGACTCCACAAAGTGAGATTTACGTTAGTGGGGCTCTTATCCCTGCCAGGTCAGCTCTTGGGTATGTCATTTGTTGAGGTGGTTAGATGGTGTTCTGCCATGGTCTGAATTTGGCCATTACTGGGTATGTTGGTTCTGGGGCCTTTTGGGAGGGGCACTGGTACATGCCAAGATCAGATGCTGCCAGTGCCCAGGGCCACCTGGTAGTAGCCTACAAAGTGATCTGCAGAAGGTTATTTCTTGTGCTGGGCTTTGAGGTACCCAGGAGAGTCAAAACTGTGAACTAAGGCTAGCTGCCACTAGTGCCAGGCTTGAGTCCACTTAGGCAGAGGTACAAGGCTTGCCAAAGCCAAACACTGCTTGTTTGGAGTTTGTGAATCTTTCAGAGATTTTAGGGAAGTCCATAGCAGGAGCTTGTACAGGCTGTTTGTTTAAAAAAGCCAGCCACTGGAAATTGCTTGTGCTGTGGTATCAGAATCATCAGGGTGGTACAAATGGTGTTAGCCAGGTTGATGGAGACTCAGACTTCACCCAACCTATGCCTATAAGCATGGGCGGGGAGGGTCCTCAATAAAGGAACAGTGGAGTTTGCTTCCACTTCTGTCCAGGATATAGCTACGCCTCCAGCCCTCACACTGAAGCCAGACAGTACAGTTCCTCCATATATGTTCCTGGCACCTTTTGAGCTATTGCCCCAGCGCTGGAGCTCAGAATGAGTGAGTCCATCACTAAGTCTGTGCATGGCTCCTTTAAGAGAACTCCAGCAGTCCTCTGCCTCACTCAGCCATAATTCCCCGTTTTCACAGCCAGAAGTTTTGGGTTCTGTTTTGGCACTGGAGCCCTTTGGAAAGTAAAGTGGGGAACTAGGTATGCGGTTGGGACCCCTCAGTCCTCAGGGAGGACTTCTGCAGCTGAGATATCCCTCTCGATTCTTAATCACCAGACGTGGGTGTCAGACCAGCCCGTTTCGTGTCTCTGCCACTTCCTACCAGTCTTGACATGGCTTCTTTATGTCCTTAGTTATAGGACTTAATGTTCACCTAGTCTTTAGGTGGTTTTTAATGATGGTTGTTTTTAATTTATTTGTACTTTTGATGTAGTCATGGGAGGAGATGAGCACAGCACTTACCTACTCTGCCATCTTGACTGGAAGTTCAAACAGTGCACGTTTTGGGGAGATGAAATTGAGCACAGTCCCTGAGTAATTCATAGATTTTTATCATAAATTCTGCAGGAATTTTTTAAATGCCTTTCTCTTCACATCCCTATTACTCAATTAAAGAAGACTGAAAAAGTTTTTCACAATTATTTTTAATAACATTTTTAGAGAGTAAAATAAGAGTAAAACATTTTTTACTCTTGTAGCTTTCCAGTATATCTCCAGTTAATAGTTGGTGAACAAATCCTTAAAACAAAATTACTTTAATTCTCTTTCTTAAAATTTGTGTGCAACACATTCCTTTTGTCTTGTTTAAAGCCGGGGAGAATGGCTATAGGTATACACCTAGGGGACCCTGGGTAAGAACAGGAATGTAGGTGTGCATCTGCAGCAGATAGAACCCTGGGTCAGAGTGTGCTTTTTCCACAGGTCTCAGCCACCTTTGCAGCCAGTCTGGTCAGCAGCCCAGCCATTGGAGCATACCTCTCAGCCAATTATGGAGACAACCTCGTTGTGCTGGTGGCCACAGTGGTGGCTCTTCTGGACATCTGCTTCATCTTATTGGCTGTTCCAGAATCTTTCCCAGAGAAAATGAGACCACTCTCCTGGGGAGTTCAGATATCTTGGAAACAAGCAGACCCTTTTGCGGTAAATTAAAATATAAAAACATTTACTTTCCTATTTATTTTTCTAAGCCATGGAAATAAAAGAACATTTGTGCAACCTCAAGCATCCCATTTCCTGGAGAAAGAAATGAATGTCGATTCATTTCTTTCTCCAGGAAAGTAGAAAAAAATGCAATTGCAAGTAATAGACTGATGTAGACTGTGCACCAAGGAATATATAGAATTGACATTTCTTAAATCAAGCATGTGGTTGTCATAAGGGAAGAGAGAGAAAATGTCGAGGCAAATTGAATATTAATCCCTGATGAGGGAAGGAATTTTTTTTCACATGGTGGTTTTCATCCTTTTTTAAAAAAATTAATGAAGGCGGCTGTTTGAAGTGGTGGTTATAATTCACTTAAATTCAAAAAGGATAAAAGCATTGGTCTGACTAAAGTAGTTGTTATCTAAATTGTTACTATACATCCTCTTGGACCAGAGGCTTTGAACTTTTGCAGATTGAATGGATTCTTTGTTTTCTATACTCTTTTTGGTTTGGGGCATGGGGGTAGTCCCATTAACAACTAGAAAAAGTACTTAGAAGAGAGTCTTATCTCTCCCCTTCTCCCACCTTACCTGAAATTGTTCTTGAAGAAAATATATGCAGAAAAAAATTTGATTTTTGCTTTTTATCCCCCAAGTTTACCTTTTAGAAGAAATACATATAGTAAGAAAGTTAACTCATCAGAAATTGTTTTTTAAAAAGCCCCCTCAGGACATGACCTGGGGACCCTACCGATTCTGTTTGTGCCACATCTAGAAGGAAGGAAACCAGGTGTACACATGGGAACTAGTTGGGCTTCCCATCTTCTCGTCATATAGTGATCAAGTTACACATGGAAACTCCTCTTTGAACTAGAACTATTATGGCTTACCTTTCAGGGCTGTTGTGAGGATTACAGTGAATGTATGTATATTTACTAGTCTAATGTCTGGTGTGTAGTAAGTTTTCAATAGTCATTAGCTGGTTTTGCCATTGTATAAAGGTTATGATGATCTAGAATGTACTGCAGCACTCTTCATTTCTTAGAAAGCAGTGCACCTGTTGGTCTGCTCAACAATCCTGTGTAGAAAGGAAAGTAAGAAGGATTTTTAGACAAGATTATAACATTCAAAAAGTTGTTTGCTGGTCAGAGAATCTCCTTGTCACTGACCCAATGGCTGGAACATACTTAATTTGTCAACCAGTTTACAGGCAAATTGAATATTAACATTTCAAAGAATAGAGTGAATTTATGTGTAATGAAAACCCTGTATTGCTTATGGCTTTAAAGAAGCCATATTATGAATGAAAAAGATGATATTTTCTTAAAAGATTGTGGAGCAATATGTTTTTAGAGTCTGTCCATAGGATGTTCAGGGTCTGTTTCAGGATGTGAGAGAGAGTGTTTTAAGTTGTCATATTTTAAACACACACCTCAGAAAGTATAACTTGTAACTTCCAAAGAGCTGGTAACAGATTTAATGTTAAGGTTCACTTCTTTTTATAATGAATTCAGCTTTTGTTATCCACCTTAATAGTTCAAGACAAAAGAAGTCAGTATCTCAAAATATCCGTGACAGTAGCGTCTATTTGCATTTTATGTGTTTCTCTTTCTGCTTTTTCATAGTCACTGAAGAAAGTTGGAAAAGATTCTACTGTCTTACTAATCTGCATCACCGTGTTTCTTTCTTACCTTCCTGAAGCTGGACAGTATTCAAGTTTTTTTCTCTATCTCAGGCAGGTGGGTAGTGGGTGCCTAATAGCTTTTGAACATGAGGACAATCAATGTATGAACTTGCTTCAAGTTATAAATGTAGGTGCTGAGATATAATTAGTAATCAGGAAACCTGATTAAATGATGTTTGAAAATATAGAAGAATATTTACTGTGTAAAAAACTTCTTTGAGAATTATACAGAAAGAAAATTGCAGAAAAAATTTATCATAATGTTTTAAATCTTTAATAATATCCATTAAATTTCAGAAAGGGAACTTTTACTTCAGAAATCCCCTGACCTGGGCCTGATCACAGCCAGTTTGTTGAGCTGTCTTCTGTAGGGCATCGCTCAGTGTTGCTGTGGACTCCAAGGCGGCTCGCAAGCATAATCAAAATAATCTTTTCTCTCCTGTGAATTTTTTTCTTTAAAAATTTGCACTTTACTTTGTTCCCCCAAAAGGCAATTGACTTAAGCCTTTTTTTTTTTTTAAGCTTCTTTTTCCAGCGAGTGGGATTGCTGAGAACTGAGTTGCCTTCTATTATAACTCTGCCTTGGTCGTCTACCAATTTCACTGAAAGTCCTCCTAATGGTTCACTCCACTTTGACAAAACACAAAACAGTCCTCCTCCTATGATAAATTTCTGTATTTTTGAATATATTTTTTAATGAAACTCATTAAATTCACCGTTTTTATAGTTTTCCTGAAAGCATAACACTAATATTTTATATGGCGTATAAGTAAATCTTTTTTCAAGCACTTCTATTTCTATTTTGCTCAGTTTTGGTGGGTGGATACTAGAGATTTAGAGAGAATAGTGGTGAGATAGTGTGTTTAATGTAGAAAATTATATGTGTATTTAATTAAATTATGCATTTAATTTAGGAAAATGGGAAAGCCCAAAGAAGTGAAAAATTATATCTCATCCCATCACATATATAATATACAACTGTGAATAACTTCTTTTTCTACCTTTTTTTCCTATACATATGCTTAATGTCACCACTACCACCCAATTATAACAAATAAGAATCATTGTTATTTTATATTTGTGCTTGTTTTAAAGTTCACACATACAAACATATTTTAGTTAAAATTGCATTTGATATTTGTAAAGCATATGAATGATAAGAAACTTGTATCCCATATATATATAGAACTCTTACAACTCAATAATAAAAAGACACATAACCGAACTGAAAACATAGGCAAAGGATTTTTATCGATATTTCTCCAAGAATATATACAAATAACTAATAAACACATGAAAGAATGCTTAATATCATTAGCCATCAAGGAAATGCAAATTAAAACAACAATAAGATTCTACTTCATACCTAAGCTAAGCTAAGATGCCTTTAATCAAAAAGACAGACAAGGATATGGAGCAATGGGAACTGTCACAATGCTGGGATTATAAAATGGTGTAGCCACTGTGGAAAAGAGTCTGGTCGTTCCCCAAAGTGTTCAACATAAGATTCCCAGCAAATCTATTCTTAAGTATATAGCCAAGAGAAATGAAAAAACCTGTCTACACAGAAACTTTTACACAAATTATTAATATTCATAACAACCAAAAAGTAGAAATAACCCAAATGTCTATCCATTGATGAAATGGATCAAAAACATTGTATATCCATACAATGGAATGGTATTATTTGACAATTAAAAGCAATGAAGCACTGATAACATTCTCTAATATGGGCAGACTTTGAAAAAATGCTAAGTGAAAGATGTCAGGACCATATATATGAAATGCTCAGAATAAACAAATCCATAAAGACAGGAAACAGATTACTGGCTGGGCAGAGGGGCAGGCTAGGAGAATGGGAGTCCCAATGGGGTATCATGTTTCTTTGAGGAGTGATGAGATTTTCTAAAATTGATTGTGGTGATAATTGTCCAACTCTGTAAATACACTTATATTTACAGAGTGATTTGTACACTAATAATGGGTGAATTGTATGGTATTTAAATTCTATCTCAAAACACTCTTCTTTTTAAATGTACTTATTTAAGATCTCAAATAAACAACCTAACATTACATCTAGAAAAAATAAATGAAGCCCAAAGTCAGCAGAAAGAAGGAAATAATAAATATTAGAGCAGAATTAAATGAAACTAAGAACAAAAAGAAATAGGAAAAAATGCAACTAAGAACTGAGTCTTTGAAAAGATAATTGACAACCCCCTGGCTAGACTCATAAAGAAAAAAGAGAAAAGACATAAACAAAATCAGAAATGAAAGAGAAGTTATGACAGATACCACTGAAATACAAAGGATCATACAAGAATACCATGAAAGATAATATGCCACCAAATTCAATAACCTAGAAGAAATGGACAAGTTCTTAGAAATCTACAACCTTCCTAGACAATCATGAAGAACTGAAAAAAATCTAAATAGCTGATCAACATTATAGAAATTGAAACAATCATCAAAACCTACCAAAAAGCAAACGTCCAGGACCACATGGTTTCACAAGTGAATTCTAACAAACATTCAAAGAAGATGTAATACCTGTCCTCAAACTTTTTTAAAAAATCAAAAAGGCAATACTTCTAACTCATTTTATGAGGCCAACTTTACCCTGATACCAAAACCTGGTAGAGATAACACACACACACACACACAACACACACACACACACACACACACACACACGACCAATATCTCATGAATACAGATGCAAAAATCCTAAACAAAATATGAACAAAGCGAATACAACACATGAAAAAGATTATATACTGTCATCAAGTGGGCTTCATCCCAATGGCACAGGGATGGTTTAATATATGCAAATCAATTAATATGATGCACTAGATAAACAAAGGATAAAATCGTATGATCATGTCAATAGATGCAAGAAAAATCATTTGACAAGATATAGCATCCATTTATGATTAAAACATTTAAATGGATATAGAAGGAAAGCGCCTCAATATAATGAAGGCCATCCATATACAACAAACCCTGAATTAACATCATACTTAATGGTAAAAAACTAAAAACCTTCCCTCTTAGATCAGGAACAAGACTAGGTTATCACCACTATTATTCAATATAGTATTGGAAGTACTAGCTAGAGCTGTCAGGCAAGAGAAAGATAAAAAAGGTATCCAAATAGGGAATGAAAAAGTCAAATTGTCACTTTTTGTAGATGACATGGTTCTCTATTTTGAAAACCCTAAAGATTTCACTAAAAAACTATTAGAAACAATAAACAAATACTGTTAAGTTTCAGGATACAAAATCAATGTACAAAAATCCATAGCCTTTCTATACTCTTAACAGTTAATTTTCAGAAAAAGAAACAAAAGAATTTCTCTTACAATTAAAACAAAAAGAATAAAATACCTAGGAATACACCTAACAAAGCATTTTATTTAGAGCCTACCCTAGAGATTACTACTTGTATGTATGATTTATTAATCCCTAATAAAGTAGTACTATTTACGTTCTCTACATGATTCAAGGACCTTTGACTTTCTTAATCATCCTGCATTATATGTTCTTGTTGTCCAGTAATTTTTTGTGTCATATTTTAAGTCTTAACAAATTTTTAATTTTTTTATATAATCAATGTTCTTTTTTATTTATTTACATATTTTACTGTTTCTTTTTATTGAGGTAAAGTTGAGATATTTACCATTTCAATTGCTCTTTATTACCAAATTCTAAGCATTCGTCTTGGACTGCTTTCATTCTATGTGAAGAACATTTTTTAGTGCAGGTCTGCCATTTACAAAATCAGCTCTCCCTTTCCCCCTACCCCTACTCCTCCCTACCTCTCGTCTAAAAATGCCTTTATTCGAACCTACATTTTTGGGAAGATAAGTTTTCTGCTCTTACATTCTAGCCTTTGACCTCTTCCTCTCCCAGTGTGTGTTGGGGTTTATTTCCATTCACTTAAACTAAAAAATAGTTCACACATTTCTCATCCGCCTCTGGAAACCACCAATCTGTTCTCTGTATCTATGACCTTTTTTTTTAGTTTAAGATTTCACATACGAGAGATCATGTGGTATTTCTCTTTGTCTGACTTATTTCACTTAGCATAATGCCCTCAAGGTACATCTATGTTGTTGTAAATGGTAAGATTTCATTCTTTTTTAAGGATGAATAGTGCACATATATACCACATTTCTTTATCCATTTATCCACTGATGGACACTTAGGTTGTTACAGTATCCTGGCTATTGTAAACAATGTTGCAGTGAACACTGGGGTGCATATATCTTCAAATTAGTGTTTTGGTTTTCTTTGGATAAATACCCGGAAGTGGAATCACGGGATCTTATGTTAGTTTTATTTTTAATTGTTTGAGGACCCTCTGTACTGTTTTCCATAGGGGTTATACCAATTTATATTCCAACCAACAGTGCACAAGGGTTCCCTTTTCTCCACATTCTTGCCAATACTTGTAATTTCTTGTCTTTGATAATAGCCATTCTAACAGGTGTGAGGCGATATCTCATTGCAGTTTTGATTTGTATTTCCCTGATGATTAATGATGTTCAGCATCTTTTCATGTACCTGTTGGCCATCTGTATGTCTTCTTTGGAAAAATATCCATTCAGGTCTTCTGCCCATTTTTTAATCAGGTTGTTTGTTTTTTGCTGTTGAGTTATATGAATTCTTTATGTATGTTAGATATTAGCCCCTTATCAGATATATGACACCCAGTTATTTTTTTTCCCCATTCAATAGATTGCCTTTTCATTTTGTCAACAATTTCCTTTGCTGTGCAGAAACTTTTTAGTTTGATATAGTCCCCCTTGTTTCTTTTTGCTTTTGTTGCTTTTGATTTGGTGTCAGATTCAGAAAGTCGGTGCCAAGACCTATGTTAAGGAGTTTACTACCCATGTTTTCTTCTAGAAGTTTTATGGTTTCAGGTCTTACATTCAGGTCTTAATCCATTTTGAGTTAATTTTTGACGTATGGTGTAAGATAATGGCCAGTTTAATTCTTTTGCATGTGTCTATCTAATTTTCCCAACATTGTATTGAAGAGACTGTCTTTTACCCATTGTATATTCTTGGCTCCTTTGTCATAAATTAATCGACCATATGTGCATGGGTTTATTTCTGGTCTCTCTGATTGGTTCCATTAATCTATGTTTCGGTTTTTATGCAATACCACATTGTTTTAGTTAGTATAGCTTTGAAATATAGTTTGAAATTAGGGAGCAGGATTACTCCAGCTTTATTCTTCTTTCTCAAGATCGCTTTGGCTATTCAGCATCTTCCATGGTTCCATGCAGATTTTAGATTGTATCTTCTATTCCTGTGAAAAATACAGTTGGATTTCATAGCAATGCATTGAATTCATATACTGCTTTGGGTAGAGTATGGACATTTTAACAATATTCTTCCAGTTCATAAGCATGGAATATCTTTTCATTATTTGTGTCTTCAATTTCATTCATTAATATTGTAGTTTTTAATATAAAAGTTTTTCACTTCCTTGGTTAAATTTATTCCTAGGTATTCTTTTTGATGAAGTTGTAAATGAGATTGTTTTCTTAATTTATCTTTTCGATAGGTCATTATTAGTGTACAGAAACGTAACAGATTTTTGTCCTTAGGTATTTAATTTTGTTTTTTATAATTTTTTTAAAAATTTATTGGGGTGACATTGGTGAATAACATTATATAAGTTTCAGATGCACAACTTTATAATATGGTATCTGTATACTCCATTGTGTGCTCACCACCCAAACCCTAGTCTCCTTTTGTCACCATGTATTTGACCCCCTTTACCCTCTTCATCCTTCCCTATCCCCATTCCCCTCTGGTAACCACCATTCTGTTTTTTATATCTATGAGTTTGGGGTTTTAGAAGATTTTTATTTGTTTATTTGTTCATTTGTTGCTTTTTTGTTTGTTTTATATCCCACATGTGAGTAAAGTCATACGGTCTTGTCCTTTTCTGCCTGACTTATTTTACTTCGTTTAATACTCTCAAGATCTATCCATGTTGTACCAAATGACAATATTTCATCATTTTATGGCTGAATAGTATTCCACTGTATATATATATATACCACATCTCCTTTATCCACTCATTCGTCAAAAGACACTTAGGTTGTTTCCATGTCTTGGCTATTGTGAATAATGCTGCAGTGAACACAGGGTTACATATATTTTCATATGTGTTTTCAAACTTTTCAGGTAGATAACCCAGAAGAGGGATTGCTGGGCTATATGGTAGTTCTACTCTTAATTTTTTGAGGAACCTTTATACTGTACCAATTTAAATTCCTACTAATAATGCACAAGTGTTCCCTTTCTCCACATCCTTGTCAGCACTTGTTATTCCTTGTCTTTTTGACAATAGCCATTCTGACAGTGATGAAAGAAATAACTATTGATATTGAGCATCTTTTCATGTACCTGTTGGCCATCTGAGTTTTCCTTAGAAAAGTATCTGTTCAAGTCCTCTGCCTATTTTTAAATGGATTATTTGTTTCTTTGTTTGTTATTGAGTTGTATGAGTTCTTTATATATTTTGGATATTAACCCCTTATCAGAGGTATTGTTTGCAAAGATCTTCCATTTGATTGGTTGTCTTTTTGTTTGTTGATGGTTTCTTTCATTGTGTAGAGCTTTTTAGTTTGAAATAGTCTCAGTCATTCATTTTTTCTTTAACTTCCCTTACCTTTAGGGTCAAGTTCACAAAAACCCTTCTGAAACCAAGTTCCATAAGTTTAGTGCCTGTTTGTTTTCTACTATGTATTTTATTGTGTCAGGTCATGTATTTAAGTTTTTAATCCATTTCGAATTAATTTTAGGGTATGGTGTCAGATAGCAGCCTAGTTTCATTCTTTTGCATGTGGCTTTCCAGTTTTCCCAGCACCATTTATTTAAGAGACTTTCCTTTCATTATTGTATGTTTTTTGGCTTCTTTACCAGTTGCCCATATATGTGTGGGTTTATTGCTGGGCTTTCAGTTCTGTTCCAGTGGTCTGTGTGTCTGTTTTCTGCTAGTTTGGGTTATTGTAGCTTTGTAGTGTAATTTGAAGTCAGAGAGCGTGATACCTCTGGCTTTGTTCCTTTTTCTCAGGATTGCTTTGGCTATTTGGGTTTTTTTGTGGTTCTATTCAAATTCGAAGACTTTTTTGTTCTATTTCTGTGAAAAAAGCTATTGGGATTTTGATAAGGATTGCATTAAGTCTGTATATTTCTTTAGGTAATATGGCCATTTTAACAACGTTAATTCTTCCAGTCCATGAACACTGAATATCTTTTAATTTTTGTGTCATCTTCAGTTTCTTTCAACAATGTCTTGTAGTTTTCAGAGTACATGTCCTTCACTCCTTCATTAAGTTTGTTCCTAGGTATTTTATTCTTTTGGTTGTGACTGTAAATGTAATTATTTTTCTTTATTTCTCTTTTTGCAATTTTGCTGTTAGTATATAGGAATACAATGGTTTTTTCTGTATTGGTTTTATATCCTGCAACTTTACTGAATTTGTGTATTAGTTCCAACAATTTTTTGATGGCACCTTTAGGGTTTTCTAAATACGTCATGTCATCCGCAAATAGTGACAGTTTTACTTCTTCATTTCCAGTGTGGATGCCTTTTATTTCTTTTTCTTGCCTCTTTGCTGCAGCTAGGACTTCCAACATTGAATAAAAGTGGCAAGAGTAGAGACACCCTAACATCATATCTTGTTCTTGATATGAGAGGAAAAGCCAAAGCTTTTCACTGTTGAGAATGATGTTAGCTATGGGTTTGCCTTTATTATGTTTAAGTATCTGCTTTGTTGAGTTTTTATCATAAATAGATGTTGAATTTTATCAAATGCTTTGTCTGTGTCTATTTAGATGATCATATGATTTTTACTCTTCATTGGATTAATATGGTGTATCACACTGACTAATTTGCTCATGACCTATTCTTGCCTTTCTGGTATAAGCCTCACTTGGTCATGGTGTCTGATCCTTTTAATGTATTATCGAATTCAGTTTGTTAATTTTGTTGAGGATTTTTGCATCTATATTCAACACAAATATTAGCCTGCTATTTATTTATTTGTGGCATCCTTGTCTGGTTTTGGTATCAGGGTAATGCTGGCCTTATAAAATGTGTTTGGAAGAATTCCTTTCTCTACTGTTTTTTTGGAAGAGTTTAAGAAGGATTGGTAGTGATTATTCGCTGAACGTTTGATGAAATTCACAAGTGAAGCCATATAGTCTTAGACTTGTTTGTTCGGACATTTTTGGTTACTGTTTCAAACCCCTTGCTAGTAATCAGTCTGTTCATATTTTCTGTTTTATTGTGATTCAGTCTTGGTAGCTTGTATGGTCCTGGAAATTTATCCATATCTTCTAGATTATCCAGTTTGTTGGCATATAATTGTTCATAGAAGTCTTTTTCGAACCTTTGTATGGTTCATAAGTTATAACATCTCTCATTTCTGATTTTGAGTCTTTTCTTTATCCTGGTGAGTCCAGCTAAAGTTTTATCAATTTTGTTTATCTTTTCATGTAATTAGCTCTTAGATTCATTGATCTTTTCTATTGTCTTTTTAGTCTCAATAATTTTAAGCTCCTTTTTCTAAATTTCATAGAGTTTCAGTAGAGGAGAAAATAACTTTTTAAAAAATATGGTATTTAAAACTAAAAGTTTTAGGCATTTTAGAGCTGCTTATAAGGTTAAGAGGCTTAGAAATCAATGCCAGCTAACTTTGGCTTCTCATTAGAATCACCGTGGAACCTTTTTAAAACATACCTATGTGTTGGCCCAGAGAGTCTGATTTAAATAGTCTCAAATGGGTTCCAGACTTTCATTGTTTCCTCTTCTCTCCTTCTCTGTTGACCACATGATTTTAACATGCAGCTAAAGTTGAGGTCCACAGACTTTGCTTGTGAGCAAATTCTGTATAGACGGCATCAAAAGTCAAATTATTTCTCTATATTGTAATGCTTGATAATATTATATTTGGGTTTTGGTAGATTGGTGATGGGGAGGGATGTGAAACAATAGAGTAGGCCTATAATAGAAAATATTATCTTAAAAATATTTATTAAATTAAATTGTGCTCACTTATAATGATTTTTTTAATCATATTTAGATATAAATTACTGGTTAAATGGGTTCAAGTTTTAGCACTACCTTAATTTGCCATTGTCAAGGTTTTATGAACTTTCTTCAACTATTTTAGCCTATAGCTTTACTAGAACATAGCATTTATTTTTATAATATCTACATAACAGTAGTGTTTTGTTTTTTTCTGTTCCATAGGTCATAGGTTTTGGATCTGTTAAAATTGCAGCATTCATAGCTATGGTAGGAATTCTGTCTATTGTGGCTCAGGTGAGTATCATTTTGCTCATCCCTTTTTTTTTTAACATTTTTATTCTGAAATAACTGCAGGTTCACAGGAAGCTCCAAAGAAATGTTCGTGAATATCCCCTGCCCCCCTAGCTTAGCCCCTCTTCCTCCCCTGCCGCAATAACCGCTTATATATCTACGATACAATATCAAACCCAGTAAACTGACATGGATATGGTCCATAGAACCATTTCAATTTTAATAGAATATTGAGGTTGTGCTTTAGGAAGAATTTAAATACAACCTTTCAGTACTTTTTAGAATACTTGTTATTTCTACTGGGTCTGTTCAGCAAATGGAAATTTGTTTTATAACTACCAATCACAACTTAACTCATTACAGATATTGCAAAATTTATTTAACCAGGAGAATGTTTCAATATAATTTTAATGTTGAAAAGTAAGTTCAACTAAAAATGAAATGAAAATCAGTAACTGTTCCAACCTTTGCTCTCCCCAGGACTGAAGAAATATGGTAAATCAGCACATTAGAATATATGTAATGAGTAAAGAACATTAAACATTTCCTCATCTATAATAAATTTAGGACCACAAAAGGCAGAGCAGGTGTCCTTTAAATAAATTCTTTGGCATGTTTAAGTGCATTCACTATATCATATGAGATTCCCTAGAGGCTATTTCCCTGAAACAGCTACTTGCTGCTTTAAAGCATGGTAGGCCAGGTCGACCACTCTTCTGTGAAATGAGAAGGCTCTAGAACTGTTTTGCCTAAATGTTAGAATTGACAAGGCTCTTAGGAATGCATCAAGGCAAAGGCCTTTCTTTTTTGTTGTTGTTGAACTGTATCAGCAAATGTAGATTATGTTAAACTTTCAAGTTGCTTGTGATTCAGGCTTTTCATATTAACTCTGGTTACTCAGTTAACCCAGACTCATCTTTTCATCCTGTGCCTTTTCAAAGTCCAGAGTGCTAACCATTACACCATGGGACTTAATCCTGTGCCTTTTCAAACTATCTCAACTATTTTTTAGCAGAGTATATATTTGTTAAAATCAAATTATATTAATCTAACTTTATAAAACTGCAAACCTCCAGCAAAATTCCACATATTCTGTAAATATTCAGCAGGGGCTTGCTATTTACTTGTAGTTAAGTGATTGGCATTTCTCAAAAGATACTGAGGCACTGACTTATCATGGCTATGATGACCTTTCTAGAAAGGTGCTCACAAAGCACTAGATAAGCAGGTTCCTGGGGAGGAGCCCCTGAAGTTCCACTCCTTTAGAGCTACATCCATACTGCGTGGTCTCAAGTCTGTCCCTTAGAGGTCCCTGGTTATCATTATTAGGCTTCCCTCAAAGCGTGCATCAAATCTGTGTGTTCACATGGTTTCTCAGGATTATCTCCTTCACTTTGCAGACAGTCTTTCTTACCATCTTGATGAGGTCATTAGGGAATAAGAATACCGTCCTCCTTGGCTTGAGTTTCCAGATGTTCCAGTTAGCCTGGTATGGTTTTGGATCTCAGGCCTGGTAAGCCTCTCCCATGGATTCTCATGAACTAACAGACAGATGCTTCTTTTAGAGGAGCTCAAGTTGGTTGAATGTGATGTGAAGGAAGCAAGGGTTATTTTACTGGTTTGTGTCTTGGAGAAGAGTGGAACTAGGTAATTTAAGATTATTTGTAAAGATTGTCTTTACCTCAGCAACTTTCAGTGATTTGTTACTTAATTAAGTGTGTGTGCTTCCTCCCCTCAATCTTCCCAAAAGTTTTATATCTACCTTTTAAACACATTTGTCAGTTTTTAGGGACATCATATATAGTCCAAAAAAAAAAAAAAATCAAGGAAAAATGACATTAGGGTTCGCTGTCCACAATTAGCTGAGTGACCTTGGGCAGAGACATAACATTTATAACATAAAGCATTTGACTTAAATGATTCCTAAGATCTCTTCCAAAATCTTGTGTACCCTGAGACAATTATGAATGCTTGTGTATTAGCTTCCCATAAATAGGAAGGTTGAAATAAACCCTGAAATCAGAAGAAGCAAAAAGAATCCTCTGTGCTGTTTTGTTATGCAGCAAGTTTCCCCATGTGCCTTGATCCAAATACCAGAGTTCATATTCCATTTTAAATACTAGAGTTAATTCTCATTTAGTATACATGACATAGTTTAGAGAAACTAGAAATGCCTTAGAGGTCAGTGGTTATTTCTTCTTCTTTAAGATTTCAGTCCTATGAACTTTGGTTCAGTAGCTGATTCAGTCAAGCTCATGCTATATTAAAAAGATTTTGTCAACCTGAAGGGTTTTTCCTTTTCAGTAAGCATGTGCGTGTCAGCCATCCCCTTAAGCCCAGTTGTGGCCTCACACTCCTCTCACTCATACTTAATACTGACACACACTTAAGTCTATTTCATTGAGAAAAAGACAAAAGTCCAAAGCAGGCTTGGAAGTCTGCAGGATGCCATCCTGCACTTCCAGGTTTCTAGTTTTTTCTTTTTTGTTGATGGCACGTGATACTTTGTTGGAAGATAGCAAACCGAGCAGCACAAAAGCAGTGTGAATGTGAGCCTTGGAGATGTACAAAGAAAAAGTAGGAAATTGGTGGGGGAAATATGAGACTTATGAAAACAAGAAATCTTTTTGAACTTCGTTGAGCTTATGTTTAAAGATGGTAATAGGGAAGCCAGGAAGAACAAATTTTGAAAGAGATAAAATAAAGAATTGAAACTTTCCTATCCTGTGAAGTGATTAGTATTAAGAAGGTGACATATAATCTTCCAAATTTTAAAAAAAAATCAGTTTTTAAAGAGGAAAAATTAAATACAACTTAACTTGAAAAAACAGAAGGCATTTTATGCTTTTGCCACTGATTGTACTGTAAGCAACAAGCTCTTTGGGGCTGGCCTGCCGCCTGACAGCAGCCTGTCCTGTCATTGCAGGATGATGTGGGCAGCAGGGACCGTGGCTGCCATGTCCAGCATCACATTTCCAGCAGTCAGTGCCCTCGTCTCTCAGAATGCAGAGTCAGATCAGCAAGGTGAGGTCACCATCCCCTCTCTTATTTTCCTCCTTCAGGTGAGACATACCTTCCAGAAGCATGAGCAGCTCTGAGCCTCTCTTCACATCAACAGGGCAGGAGGTGACAGCCATGTAGGCCTTTCTCAACAATCATACCTATTTACTTTGGCACATAGGAAAATTCTGTTTTCATTCCTGAGTATGTTTTAAAACTGGACTCAACAATTAAGAATACTAAAAAGTAGAAATAGACTATTTTCTCTTTCCAGTTCTGACTCCTCTTTTATGTAATAACGTCAGAGTTAACTAGACTAATAATAACAGATGGCACCAGCACAGCCAGCTTTATTTGTGAAACAAGGAAATAAAAGATTACATCTCTTTTAAAAAAAATTTAACAGATGTCTTTTAAATAATGATAAATTCATTAATAATACAATGAGCTATTTAATCACTATAATCACTAAAGTTTCTTTAATTTGGAATCATTCAAAGTCCACTAGCTTAATTTCAGAAATGATTCTTTGAGACAATAAAGGAAAAATAAATCCGTGTATTGTTGATAATTGAATGCAGAGTGAGAGACAAAATTAAGACAACTGTGAAGAGTAGCACTCTACTATGTAGACTCTTACTTCATCCTTCTTCTGCCTCTGGCTTCCCTATTAGGCAGTTTCCACTACCAGAATCAATTATTTTCCTTCATCTCCTAATAGCTCACCTTACTGTAATCAGGAAGTAGTGAATTATAAAAGGAAAAAATTTTTAAATGCCTTAGAGCTCTTTAAAAAGTTTTTTTTTAAAATCTAGATTGTAAGATAGTTATTGTACCTTTTTTTCCACATCAGAAATCAGCCATCTTATGTCCACATTTTAAAATAGTGTCACTAGGCCACAAATTCTGTATTACCCTAGCTATGGTAACTCAGCTGGCTGTATATCCTTGGGAGGTATTGTGACTAAAGTGAAGTCGGGTCATCTGTAAAGGATGGGCACTGCTTGGTGTCTGACAGACACTATTCTGTCTTTCATGGCATAAATTTTCTTGGGCTCTTTTTATGCTTATACATATTGATACAGATGTTTCTAAATGTTGGCATACAAAATTATAACACTGTATTAGGTTGAATTATCATTGACCATTTTTGAATTTCAGAAACATGCTATTTATATGGTTCAAGCTAATTTTTTACCTGCCACGTTAGAAACCAAAGATATCTAGAAATTGGGAATTCTGGGATTTTTCAATGCAGGTCTGCAGGGAATTGCATCAGAAATGCAGAGGTCAATGAGGAACAAGTCTGCCTGGAGGTGCCCGGACCACACAGCATCAGGATTGCTGTGGACTCGCATGGACTGCAGACGGCAAAGGGCAGATTTTTATTGTAAAAGCACCATCAAATGAGTAGATCAGGAAATCTTAATCCACAGAAAAGTGGAAATTGCCTGTAAATGGAGAATATTAAAGTTTGTTATGGGGGAAATTCATTACCAAAGGATTTCAGAAATATCATTGTCATTTCATCTCCTTATAGATGTTAGGGCACAGGGTGATAACATTAAAAGGATATGGTAAGACCAAGAAAACATTTGTGCAATGAAAATATGGTGAGTGAAATCCCTAACCTACTTTTCTCAGCACAGACTTCTCAGCCCTGCTGAATCAGTATACCATAGTTTCTAAGAAAGTACTGTTTAGTCCTCAATCTCGAGATGCTTTTCAGAGAAAACTGTGTTCCGTCTTTGTTCTGACATAGGTGTTGCCCAGGGGATCATAACTGGAATAAGAGGACTGTGTAATGGCCTGGGGCCAGCACTATATGGCTTCATATTCTACATGTTTCACGTGGAACTGACTGAGTTGGAACCAGAATTGAATTCTAACTATGCTGCCCTGCAGGTAATTTGGTGATGTTTAGTTTCATAATAATGATTATGTCTGACTATAGCAAAAATCTTCTGACCTTAAATTTGGAGAGTGTTATTTGTATAATATTATTGTTTTATTTGACAGTAGTAGGTACTGTGTTCAGTACTTCCTGGGATTGGGGAGGGATCATTTCAGTGATTTAATATGTTATGTAAAAGATTTGCCTTAACTCTGTTCAGATTCTGTTCTCAACTTACACAATTACTCTGATCAGAGTGCTGTCCTTGGTAAAACTCAGGCCAAGTAAAATATAAAATGACCTAAAATTCCAGCTAGAAAGTGAGCTAGATAGAGTTCTTTTTCAACTCTTTATTTGGAATTTTTCTCACCTTTTTTCTAAGTGATATTTAGCATAGATTTCTGAACAAAATTAGAATTAATGTTCGTGCACAGAACGCGTGAACTGAGGTTATAAAATGGAATTAGAGATAAACAACTGTTACTTACAGGTATGACTAAACTATTGAGAAGTGGTGAAAAAGCAGTGATTAGTTTCCCTCTGTCATATTGCAAACACTAGGCTCTACTAGAATTGGCCTTGAAACTTAATGAAACTTTTGCTTATAAGAAAATGATTCACTTTGAGGTTGTGTGGGTTTTTTGGGTCATCTAGAACTAATTTTGTATTGAAAAAACTAACCAAATTCTTTATCTCTATTTGTTTCCCACACCCATCAGGGAGCTGTCATCCCAGGCCCACCATTTTTATTTGGGGCATGTATAGTTCTTATGTCTTTTCTAGTTGCCTTATTCATCCCTGAATACAATAAAGGCGGCGGAATTCAAAAACATAGCAGCAACCTGACCAACACCCCAGAACGGGGTAGCAATGAGGACATTGAGCCACTGTTACAAGACAGTAGCATCTGGGAGCTCTCTTCCTTCGAGGATCCTGGGAATCAGTGCACTGAGCTATAAACTAGGTAGAAAAGGAGATTCTGCACACATCGTCTCTGAAAATCATTGGAGAGCCATACCACATGGAAACTTCATGGTGCTGGAGGTGAGACGCTAGTGGCATCCTTCAGGGCCAAATTTGATAAGCGACCCTCTGCCTCTCTCCTCTTCCTCCTCCTGTTTCTTTTCTTCATTTCTTTTCCATTTGTACATTAGAACAAGTTAATATTTGAAATACATTCCTGCAAATAGTGTGCAAATCTCAAAGTTATCTGGAGTCCAAACTTTGAAACTCAAATAGAAAAAATCGTATCTCTGCTAGAAAGGATGGCTTTCCTTTAATGCCTCTACAGTACGAGTGACAGCAGTCTTTCCATGTCCTTTTCAGTAGAAGGTGTAGGATTCGAGATAAAGAATCCTTTCTTGTTTTCTTTCTTCCTGTTTTCTCTGAAAAGTGCCCATCTAGCCCATAAGTGTTGATGAGTGGCTGCTCCAAGAGTCACTCAGTATCAGGGATCTATTGCCTTCATTCAAAAGTCAAACAAAAACCTAGTCTTTTTCTTCTTTCCTTGTCTCTACTTAATATTTTCGGCTAGAATGAAATTCAGCATATACACCTCTGGATGTTAAATCAGTGATAACCTTTACCATTGAAGGAAATTTTTTATATAAATGTAAATCATGAAGAACTAGCAATTCAGATTCCTGGACCCTAGTGTCTTGGTTAAATCCAAGGTGATTTTATAAAAGAAAACACACATAAAGCATTTTGGTAGCAACATAGAAATTGGAGGGTGCATCTAAGAAAGTTTTCAACAATATAAACATTCCTAAGGGAGGATGAGGGTTAGTAACTGGATACCAATAGAGTTTATATCTAAGTTCAGACTCATATAATGCATTATTACTATTTGTTCTTTCCCATATCTCCTTTGTCCTACTTCTCAGTTTTTCTCATTCATCATACTTCTGCCTTAACTGCTTTGTGTAGTATGTATTTGTTTTCAGTAGATCTTTATTTCTATTTATCCAGCTGATGAATCTCATGGGACTATGCACATCAGATTCTTTTCTAAAATATGATGGTTTGGGTGAACTCAGTTTCATAAGTGTCTTGCTAGTTTTTTGAGATGTTTTATGGACAAAGAAAATTTTACAGATTTATATGTATTTTGCTGCACTGGTAAATGAATCATTAACTGGGGCCTACTTTTAACAGAGCACTTCTTTGAAAGTTTTATAGATATGAAATATATGTAGAGATTTGTAAGGAGTTTTAATTTTTTTTGATGGAGTGCTGTGTAAATCTTGTATTTATAAATGTAATGAAAGTATTGACAGAAAAATATATACAACTTTTATAAAAGATTATGTACTGATTAAATACATTTAAAAGAAGATATATTTTGAAACCTGTTCTGCTATGAAGAGAAATAACATATCTTTTTACTACGCTGTTGGTTTTTAAGTTAAGCTTCCTAATCATAATAAATTTACAATGGTTACTTTTATGTCTTTTGTGTTTCTTTAAAGCAAACAGTACCATTGATCTTTGGGTTCTCTTGGTTGGCTTTCAACTAAAATAAATTGCAAGTCCTTAAGCTAATGTAAAATATATGTGTGTTTTCAAAAAAGTTTCATTTTTAATAAACTTCCTCCAAAATCTCCCTTCAAAAACAGATTATAACTATTTTATTTTTTAAAAAAAGCAGGAACACAAATATTTGTACACCCATGTTGATTAGCAGCATTATTCACAATAGCCAAGTGTCCATTGTTGGATGAATAAAGATAATATGGTATTTACATACAATGGAATATTTATTCAGCCTTAGAAAGGAAGTCTTGACACATGCTACAACATGGATGAACACTGAAGACATTATGCTAAGTGAAGTAAGCTAGTCACAAAAGGACAGATACGGTATGGTTCTACTTTTGTGAAGAATCTCATCAAATTCATGGAGACACAAAGTAGAATAGTGGTTTCCAGGACTAGAGGAAAAGAGGGTATGGGAAGTTATTTTCAATTTCGCAGGATGAGAAAAGTTCTAGAAAGGGATGAGGGTGGTTACACAACAATGTGAATGTACTAATGCCACTGAACTACTTAAAAATGGTTAAAATGGTCAATTTTATGTATGTTTTGCCACAGTTTTTAAAAAATGTTCTCATAGCATCTTAGTCACCACTACTTAGAAAATTACAATTTCTTTACTCAGTATAACAAATGTCATTTATTCATCTTTTTAATTTTAAAGGTATATATTTTTTAATTGAGATAAAATGCACCATTTTAACCATTCCAAAGTGTACAATTCACTGGATTTTAGCTTATTCACATAACTGTGCAGCTGTTAGCCCTGATTCCAGAACATTTCTATCATCCTGAAAAAGTAACCCCTTACTCATTAGCAATCACTATCAATTCCCTCTATCCCCATCCCCTGGCAATCAGTAATATACAATCAGTAATATAGATTTGCCTATTTTGCACATTTCATATAAATAGAATCATTCAATATGTAACCTTTTGTGTCTGGCTTCTTTTATATAGCATGTCTTTGAGGCCTATGTTGTATCATATGTCAAATTTTATTCCTTTTTAAAGAGGAATAACATCTCATGGTATGTATACACAATATTTTATTCGTTTGTCTATTGATATTTTAGCAATCAAATTCCAATGGACATTTGGGTTGTTTACACTTTCAGGTTATCATTAATAATGTTGCTATGAACTTTCTTGTCCTAAGTTTTTGTGTGAACATGTTTTTGATTCCTCCTAGGTATATACCTAGGAGTGGAATTTCTGGATTATGTGCGAACTCTATGTTTAACCATTTGCGGAGCTGCCAAACTCACAGCAGCTATCTATCCATTTGACATTCACATCAGTAATGTAGGAAGGCTTCAGTTTCTCCATATCCTTGCCAACACTTGTTATTTTCTGTTTTGTTGTTGTTTAAAGACATTCTAGTAAGTTTAGAGTGGAATCTCATTATGCTTTTGATTTGCCTTTCTCTAATGACTAATGATGTTTAGCATCTTTTCATGTGCTTGTTTACCATTTGTATATTTTCTTTGAAGAAATGTTGATTCAAGTCCTTTGCTCCTTTTTTTGACTTCTGTACGTTAACTATTGATTTGCAGAACTTTCTTTTTTATTTTTTACATTGTACAATTCAATTTTTTTTTTCAATTATAGTTGGTATACAGCACACCAGCCTCACCTGTACAGCATATTGATCAGAGATCCACACAACTCGCAGAGTGCTCACCCCACCAAATCTAGTACCCCTCCTTCCCCGCCACATATTTATTCCAACATTATTAACCATCTTTCCCATGCTGTATTCTACATCCCCATGTCTACTCTGCAGCCATCCACCTGCATCTCTCAAACCCTTTGCCCTCTTTTCCTTCCCCACCCCCTCCCATCTAGTATCCCTCAAAATAGTCTCTGTATCTATGAGTTTATTTCTGCTTTTGTTGGTGATGTTGATTTTGTTCTTTAGTTTCCACATGTACATGAAATCATGCAATATTTGTCTTTCTCTATCGGACTTATTTCATTCAGTGCAATATACCCTCTAGGTCCATCAAGACAATATCATTTTTCATCCCCTTCCTTTTAGTCTGTATGTGTCTTCTAATCTGAAGTGAGTCTCTTGTAGACAGCATATGTAGGGATCTTGTTATCCATTCGGCGACTCTATCTTTTGGTTGGAGTACTTAATTCTTTTCCATTTGAGGTACTTGTTGATAGGAATGTAGTTGTTACCATTCTTTATTCCTGTTTTTGGTACATGTTTTCTCTTCTTAAAGAAGTCCCTCCAACATTTCCTATAATACTGGCTCGGTGATGATAAATTCCTTTAGCTTATTTTTGTCTGGGAAACTCTTTATCTGTCCTTCAACTCTAAATGAGAGCTTTGCTGGATATAGTATTCTTGGTTGTAGATGCTGGGTTTTCATCACGTCGAATATTTTGTGCCAAGCCCTTCTGTACTGCATATTTTCTTTTGAGAAATCAGCTGCCAGTCTTACGAGTGCTCCTTTGTAGGTAACTATATGCTTATCTTGCTGCTTTTAAGATTCTTTATATTTAACCTTTGACATTTTAATTATGATGTGTCTTGGTGTGGGTCTCTTTGGGTTCCTGGTTCTTGGGACTTTTTGAGCTTCCTGGGGTTTTATGTCTATTTCATTTGCTAGGTTAGGGAAGTTTTCCATCATTATTTTTTCAAATAGCTGTTCAACATCTTGTTTTCCCTCAGGTATTCCGATGACACGGATATTTTTACCTTTAACAATGTCCCATATGCTCCTTAGATTATTATTATAGTCTTGGCTTCTTTTTTCATGCCATTCTGATTGAGTGTCCTTGGCTTCTCCATCCTCTATATAGGTCATTTGATCTTCTTTATTCACTTTGTTTATTCCATTTAATATATTTCTCATCTCAGATAATGTGTTCTTCATTTTTGACTGGTTCCCTTTTATAATTTCCATTTCCATTTTTGTTTTTTTATCTCTTTGTTGAAGTTCTTACTGAATTCATCTACCCTTCCCATAAGTTCATTGACCAGTGTTTTGAACTCTTCATCTGTTAGATTACTTGACTCCATTATATCTGGATCTCTGTTCTATTCTCTCATATGATTTCTGCTTCTTTGTCTTCCCATTTGGCTGCCTTTCTGTGTCTGTTTCCATGTACTAAGCAAAGTTTTATTAGTGTGGATTTGTGTATTAGGTGTCCATTGGCACAATCCTGAGAGTGGTTCAGCTGCAGGCCAAATTTAGCCCCAGCCTGTGCCCCTCTGGGGCCACCTGTTAAGATTCAGCAAGCAATCCACAGATGCTGTGCTTATAGTTGCTTCAGAAGGCCACACCAGAAACCAAGGCCAGCTGCCACCAGTGTGAGTCTTGGCACTGCTCAGCAAGGAGCACCTGACTGCGGAGCATATACCTGGATGTGGCTTGCATGGGGCTACGACTTGGAGGAGGCAGAGTTTCAGGGAATCCTCTGGGCGGAGCAACCTCTGTTATCCAGTTTGATGATATCTCTGCTATGGCAGCGCTATTCCACGCACTGGAAGCAGGGAGAGATCAACAGAGGAACAATGGATACCACCAGCACTTCTGCCAAGGAGAGAGCTTGGTCCTGGCCTTCACTCCGACAGCTCGGTGTCACCCTGTAAGTCCCTGCGCAGCTGAACCAGCACTAGTGCTCAGAGCAAGCAGGTCCGTTACTCCGGAAGTCCACTTGTGGACGTGGCCCCTTTAAGAAGTGTCTGCCCCTGCTGTAGCCTCTTTGGACTGAGCAGCCTCGTATCCTTATCCCATCCTACCTTCTGCCATTGCAGGGTGATTTCTTAGATTTCTCCCTAGTTATATGGCTTGTTCAGCTAGCTCCCAGGCAATTTTCCTTGCAGTTTGCTTCTTGTTTCTGTCACCACTTTGATTTGGTTGCCAGAGGGATGAACAGAGACTCTATCTTTTTTTCCCCTCCCCTCCTTTGTCCATTTTTGATTGGGGTGTTTGTTGTTGAGTTGTAAAAGTTCTTTATGTATTCAGGATGCTAGACTCATCAGATATATGATTTGCACATATTTTCTCCCCATTCTGTGGGTTGTCTTTTTACTTTCTTAATAGTATGCTTTCATGCACAAAGTTTTAGTTTTAATGAAGTTCGATTTATTAATTTTTTTCTCTTTTTTTGACCCATCTTTATTTAATTTTTGAATATAGCGTGACGTAGGATTTCAGTGTCATTCTTTTGCATATGAATATTTAATGATCTCAGCACCACTTTTTGAAGAGATTCTTTCCCCCATTGAATGGTCTTGGTGCCCTTGTCAAAAATCTGCTGAACAGTGATGTATGGATTTATTTCTGGACTTTTAATTCTACTCGATAGTTCTATATGTCTATCTTTAGGCCAGTATCAGAAAGTGTGAGTTTGTTCTTAAAGATTGTTTTGGCAATTTAGTGTGTCCCTTGCAATTCAATATGAATTTTAAGATCAGCTTTTTCATTTCTGAGAGAAAAACAAAAGGAGTTGGTATTTTGATAGGGATTGTATTGAATTTGTAGATGACTTTGAGTAATGTTGCCATCTTATCAATATTAAACCTTCCTACCCATGAACATGGGATGGCTTTCCATTTAATTTTATTTTCAGATTGTTCATTGCTAGTGTATAGAAATAAACTGATTTTTGTATGTTGATCATGTATCCTGCAGCTTTGCTGAATTTATTAGCTCCAGAAGTTTTTTTGTATATGTATGAGTGGATTCATTAGGGTTTTCTATATATTACATCGTGTCATCTTCAAATAGAGATAATTTTCTTCCTTTCCTGTTTGGATATCTTTTATTTATTTTTTTCTTGCCTAATTTTCTGGCTAGAATTTCCAGTAAAATGTTGAATAGCAGAAGCAAAAGCAAGCATCCTTGTCTTGGTCATAGGGAAAAAGCTTTCAGCTTTTTACCATTGACTATGATA